GTCAGTTGATATTAAAAGGCTCCTTTGTCTCTCTCTCTCTCTCTGTTTACATCTCAACAAGGCAGAAAGCCTCAGTGGATATCATCAGTCTTACGACTCCCGGAGGTCTCACATTCTCACCCTCACGCTCTCACCCACTCGTTTTCTCTCCCTTTATATCTTTTGTTTCTCTTTACAGCCCAACAGAGCAGCACAGCTTCCTAAATATCAGCCCATAATTAAAAAGTTTACAGTCCTCATTCAGTTTGGGTTCTTCCCCCTGAAGAATGGTCATGGTTACATTTCTAAAGCCTAGTTTTATGGTGACAGAGCCTTATTCTTAAACATTTGAATATTTTTGTTTTCAAGGGAAAGTGAAAGCAGATTAACGTGTATTTCAGGGAAAAAGGAACATTAAATAAATCGTAAAACTTTTTTTACATTACATTTTACACTCTGCTTTTGTATAAAACAATGCAACGATAAAGATCTGAAAATACTGAAATAGAAGAAAATGACAGCCAGCAACTAACTCAACATCTGTCATGGTGTCCTTCTCAAGTCATTTGCTTCCAAAATATTTTGCTTTCAAATTCAAGGAGTACTAAAGGATAAGGTGATGTTAAATGATTCTCACATTATCAACACATCGGAAAATACCAAAAACAACAATACATGTATAGTTAACAAATAGCATATAGTGTGTCTATCAAAGCCTGATACCTCCTTCTTCAGTGCCATAGAGCTCCCTTTATATATTGAGTCAATCCCACACACACCATCCTGCTGCCTCAAATACTCACTATAGGGCACCAAATGTGGATTAATCCGCCGCTGAAAATAGTCCCCAACAAATGCGCTATTTTCGCCTTCTTGAGTAAAGTTTGCAAAAGACGACAGTGCCAAACTGTTGTAGAAAACTATAAAGCCACTTTCAGAAATGTTATATTTGTGAGCCGCTTTAAAGATTAAGTCTTGGGACCGAGTGCCACAGAAGGGAAGTCAAAGTACTGCGAGATGGACAAACACATTGTTGGTCTTTGTTATTTTCATGGGATTTGTTTACACTGAGAAAAAATATAGAATGCAACCGTCCTTTAGTCCTTGTTTTATCATTTTGTAATGCATGAATTAAAGAAAACCTTTTTAGTGAATCAAATTATAATGTTAGGAGACTGAGGAAAAGTTCGTTTTTTGGATAAAATGATTGAGAAAACAATTAAAAACAAACACATTTCTGTCACTAATTAGTCCTGCACAGTTCTATGGATCCTTTCTCCCAACATATCAGCTGTTTAAAGGGCATAAGATGACCATTAAAATAGTTTATACAGCTTGTGCAGCCTAATCCACTGTCTTGTTGCTTAACAACTGCAGTGCAATTCCAAAAGTGCAGCTTTCTCTCTGGCGTACAGGAAGACTTGCTCCTGTACACGCTTTCAATCACTGAACAGCTAATTGGCCCACAGCTTGAACTGCACACCTCCTGCTGTTTAGAGCGCCTTTTTATCAAAAGCTCTTAATCACGTCAACAAACAAAGTTCAGAGAGTCAGGGCCTGAACGTGCTCGGTCTGCGCCTTTAACGGAAGGTGTAACATTTTAAATTATATTCGATACAGGTGATTGAATATGGTACATTTTAAATACAAACACTAGTAGTTAAAAGAGTCTAAAATGGTGAGAATTCTAAGTAATTAAGTATGTGGGTTTACTAAACTGTTCCAGGATCAGTAGACGTTGACCTTTCTGAAAGAATGTATGCAAGCACTATAATCAGAAATGCATGGAGATTCAGGACAAAGACGCCCGTCACAGTTCATAAAGGGGCTATGAATGAAACATTAGATTCAACAATGCCCTTTTAATAGACATTCACCCTCTTCACATTGTCTCGCTATTTAGTCATGCATGAATGGGACTACTGTTCCCTTGTGAGAATACCACTACTGTGTATCCACTGTAGATGATTCATGCGATTCCTCCCACTGTATTCTGGGTGAGAAAAAAAAAACGAGTACAGGTTTTGATCAGATCCAGCAGGTACACCTAGCCTGAAGCAGAAGAAAGAAAATGTCAGCACCTCAGGGCACACAAAGGGAGAAAATACTGACATCACACAAAGCCGTGTGTCAGCAGAAACTAAAATCACTGACCGCAATGGTTTAAAAACCAAAAAAAAAGACCAAAAAGGGGAGAAGATTGGCTAGTTATGGTCTATTCTGTGAGGCCTGCTGCCAGTTTCAACATGGAAGAAGTGTGAGATGTGCAGTGTTCTTGTTTATGTCGCTGCACGGAGCAGCAGAGTGGGAACGCATGCTTGGCTGAGGTGGGAACAGAGTTTAATGACAATAAAAAGGTTTGAGGAAGTATTTAATTCACAACTTTTAGAACCAGTAGAATGGGTACGGGCCTTATGTTAGCCTGCTAACTCCTGCTGGTCACTGCAACAATGCTAACCACGCTATTTGTTGTCTTGCTTACTTTTAGACACAGCATGCGAGTAAATCAGAGTAAAACACAAAGAGAGCGGCGATACTGGAGAAGGAGCACCGTCTGTTTACTCCCACACAGCCTTGAGAAGACGTCTACTTAGGCAAACACATCACCTGTGTGGCTTTATCATCGGTGTGTGGAGCCTTTAGCTCATGTGCAATCCTTATGTGCCATCTTACACTCTCAAATACACTGTTAAAATCTGTTTTGTAGTTAGAGGACAACGCCATATTTCAAAGGCTGCCGGTAGCAGAGAGAGAAACTTGGGGAAGCAGGTCTTTCATGCGCACAGCCACTCACATCCCTCAGGCTCCCACAGCGAGAAACAACAGCCAAAGCAGATAGGTGGGTGGGCCACAGCAGGGCTGGGCAATATATCGACAGCATACCGATGTCGTGATATGAGTCTAGATATCATCTTTGATTTTTAATAACGTAATTTGGCACAAGTGTTGTCTTTTCCTGGTTTTAAAGGCGGCATTACAGTAAAGTGAGGTCGTTTTCTAAACTCACCAGACTGTTCAAGCCGTTATATTATTTGCCTTTACCCAATTATTCATTATATCCACAATACTGATGATTATTCATCAAATGTCTCTTTGAGTGAAGGTTTTGTGTCAACCATATATCATTGCAATATCTGTAGAAGTATTTGGTCAAAAAATATTGTAATTTCCTACATGTCGCTTAGCCCTAGGCCACAGCTATTAAAGTGTGTTAAATGTCAAGGCACAGGACATCAGTCCAGAGTTCATTATAAAAAGAAACCTGACAGATTGCTGGGAAATGTAATGAAAACATTGATAATTAATAATAGGATGAATCCTATGTCTTAGTAACCATTTGTTAGTATGTTGACATACAAATGTAAAAATAAAATTACAATCATTTCAAAACCATATGAAGGATTTTAGGTGTGGCTTCCGGATGATGGTTGTCTACCTACTGTAAATACAGTATATATGCGGAAATGTGTGCATCTTTTATTCTTTTATTTTGATATACTTTATGCTTGAATCCAGCTCTTTCACTTTATCCACTCACAGTTAGTCACACAAAATAACGTAAGCAGAGGCTTGCAATACAGTAAACATTAATTAGTAACAGTTAGACTACAGCGGAGCAGTTAGCATTTATACTCCCACTAGCTCGGGCTAATTAGTCGAGAATAATTAGAAATAAATGTGGGTTGGTGTCTTGACCTACTGCTAATACTATTCCTCCATTTACCTAGCTCTTTTCATCCTTCACTCGGAGTGTCCTCCTGCTGTTTCTTTCTCTCTCCCATGTTTTATTCCTTTCTCGCGCCCTCTTCCTGACCTCTGATCAATGACCACAGCTGGCACCGACTGATACCTACAATAACCAATCAATTAAAATAGCTGAAACTAAATACACAATTATAAAAACAATGTAAATTAGTTTATCCCACTGTAGGCCTTCAACATTGTTTATAACTGTTTATTTCCTATTGAACTATTTACATCCTTCCTTGCCGACGCAAAACTTTTGTTAATCTCTCAGTGAACCATCGCTCTTTGCGAGCTCCGCAAGCTTTTTGGCAGTGGTGAAAATTTGGCATTACTTGTTTTAATCCCTATACTTTTACGATGGGTTATGTGACTACGCGTTACTATAGTTATCTCTGGATCCAGTAAATGTAAGATGATCAAGGTTTGCTGCGTGTGCGTTTGAGGGGTTTCAGTGAAACACTTTGTCACTGTGTCAGGTGGAAGTACTCGTTTTAAAATAAGTTTATTGATACAGTTTAGATTGCAACTCATAAATACAAACTGTAGACAGAAAGTATAATAAATCTAAGAGCATTTACTGAAATAATTCATTGCATTATCACAATGTGTTCTATATCCCTTTGTTTGCATAGAATGTGTGAGGATGCCCTTTGCGTTCATCACGGTACACACACACAAAAGAAAGAATAAAACAATCCTGAAAGTTACGAAATGACAAATCAAATTCTCAATCTCACAAATCGCAGATTCACAGAGTTGGAACTATTTCGGAACACTTCTTGAGTACAAAAACATCCACTGCTTTGAAACAGCTCGCTGTATTTAAACTATTTGAAAATCGGACAGAATGACATCAGAAGCCTCGGAGTGTTTTGTTTCAGAGTCCTCGATCTCCGCTGAAATTAAAGCACTCATTTTCAAAAGGTCACATGGCATGTTCCAAATAACAAACACAAAAAAGGAGAAATTACCACACCTCATCAAACAACACTGCAAATATATTGGTTAGCATTTCTCCTAGCCGCCGTGGAGTACAGACTGTCCACGTGTTACCTTTTAATTCAAAAAAGCCCGGCCACCTGGTACCTCTGGCAGGTGAAAACGCTTCATTCAAAAGTATTCATAAACACCATTGATCCAGTACCTACTAGGCACACGGACAGTTCATGAAACAGATCAAACACAAAATATACTTTAAAGGTTTTACACTCACTGCAGATGAAACAGAATTCAAACACATGGCACTCAACATCTTGTGATACATCTCGGTAACGAGCACAGGCAAAAGCAAATTGATGAACAAAACAAGCAAATGACAACCAGAGAAGAACGTTTCCATCCACCAGATGAAAAGTTGAAAACCACAACACTTTAGAGACATTTAGAGTGGAATCAGATCCCAGGACAGCAGCAGCTTTCCTGTAACACCTGAACCCAAAATGTGCAAGCCAAATTGTTTGTAACATACAAAAACTATAAAAAAATCAAGGAAAAGATGTTCCTTTTCGGCATGGCAATGTTAAACAGCTGGCTTGTAATGCTGTTTGACTCTCGTAAAATATTAAAACCAGACACAAAGACACACAGGTGATTTGAATATTTAACCAGATGAAATCACTTCTCTGTGGGAACTTACTCAACAAATAAACCAGCCTCACTGATCCAACAACGGGCCACATTCTTCTAAATGTGTGTTCAAACATTTTCCATATTCATAGTTCAAGTAAAGCTGCAATGCATTCCACAGACGTCATTCCTCTTCATGCAGGCTTTTAGGTAACATTCTTTAAAAAACAAAAAGAAATGAAAAGCCTTTCTCCTTTCAGCTGAGGCATGAGACACAGAGACGCCCGGTCAATCATCACTCTCATCTTTATAGGCTTCTTATTCCAATAATCCAAGAGTAAAGTCATCTCTAAGAGAAATCTTTGCCATTCTGTGAAAGAAAAGACGCTCGACTTTGAAACGTCCTCGGTTAGCCATCAGTGTCGCTGAAACGACAAAGAAAGAGCTGTTGAGTGAAAAAAAAATAAACGGGTCAAAACCCTGATAACAGAGTTAAGTTGGCATATCAAATGTGTGATTGATAGGGAAGCCTCTAATCCTGCTAACTTTCATCCTTTGATAGTTATTGTTAGATAAAGAAATAGCAGCCAGAGAGCATTTCAAAGTGACTTGTTGCCAGTCTTGCTCTGATGCAGATCAGTGGTTCTAAAATATCTACAAATTGGACAAGAACTTTAATGCCACGCGAAAATGAATACTTTTTGCTTTTAGCTTGAGGTTAGCTACCGAGCCAACCCGCTGAAAGCCCACACTCCGGGCCTCCAGCTGCTCTGAAACACAGATCAAACACTCTCTCGCTCTCTCTGGAGTCCGCCCTCGCCATCATAGGGTGAAGAAAGCGTGGATCGCGGCTTAATCTGCGGTGGCACAGGTTCACTCGGCCGATAACACGGTCCACAAGACAGGAGGCACGACCCAGACTGAACTCTGTGAGGGCTAAGCGTGAGGGTCGGGTGAAAACTATCAAATTAAAATATGCCGAAGGAAGCTTAAGTTCATGCTGAGCGAATGTGGACAGTTGCTCGACAGCAGCTTTAAACTGACCCCTCCGTCTGTTCTAAGGGATTGAATATTTGACTTTAAGTAACGGCACGGTTTCTGCAACAATTGTTGGCATCTAGAGGGCAATAGTGTCTTTGAATTAAGGCGTGGACTTAAACAACCGTCTGCTTTTCTCCTTAAAAAACACAAAGAGACAGTTCAGACTATTTTCCCTGGAATAAAAAGCTTAATTAACACCGATAAAAAGCTCCAGGGCGTGTTTGGTTCTTATTTGCATGTCAGCTGTTTTTACGCTCAAGAGACAAAGAAAGGAATCAGAACTCTCTGGAAACCAGTTTCACACATATGATTACCCACGTGCCATCAGAACGATATAGCTCCATGAAGATGATGAAGATATCAACCAAATGTGGAAACTTGGTGATTCAGGAAACGGCAGAAGATAAGACACACTGGAGAGCTGTTTTATGACATTTTGGGTAGATTGAATACTGTATCATGTCCCAGTTTCTGTTTGGATCATCAATGATATGATCAGGGACATCATGAGATGTATGTATATGTAAAGTAGTAGTATAAACTATAACGGTGCATCATTTTTAACATATTTTTCTGGGCTTCACTAACTTTTATCTCCATAATGAAACATTTGAAAATTGTTGCACTTACGAAGTGCTGAAAATGATTTTTGGAATTGAAAAGCTCGATTTCAAAATCAAACTTGTGTGGCGTTGTGAAGCTTTGTTGTCTTGACATCACATGACCATCATTAGTACAATGTAGCTACGGCCTTGTGTCGAAAAATCGATTACAAATAAAACACATGTGCGATTACGATGAAGTTGAACATGGGTTACCTCATAACTCTGTGTTATCTCTGTTGTCCCCTCTCCACCCAGTACACTGTTAAGTTGGAGCAGAAATGTTTGCACTGCAGATGAAAAGGAATTTGGTCCAGTCTTGCTCAGCCTGAGGAAGTGGATGACTTCCTGTTTTGTTAAGGATTAGACGCTGTCAAGTCACATTTTTCTCAGGTGGCCTGAAACCAGCATCTAAAAAACATCTGAAAACTTGTGTTTTGACTTTCTTACTATTGCCTTCAATGCTGTATGACATCTTGTTCTGTGTGTCGGCATTACAGTATTCAGAGCAGCAGGTAAAGAAAAGACAAAGATTACATAAGGGAAGCATAATATTGATGAGAATTAGCATGTTGAACCATCAGCTTGTCCTGTTTTTGAGATTTCACTGTCTTTTATAGAGAGAGTGAGAGGAATATTGACTGCTACAGAAATGTCAACTTGGTGAACCACCATCTGTAGATCAATGTAAACATAACACATCCTTAATACCGGCGCATCCAGTCAAGCTAACCCGGAAGTTAATTAAAAAGAAGCTCTCTAGTCTCTGACATTTGTGACAGTATATGTTTTAACGTATACTGTTACGTCAACAACCCCTTTGGGACAATGTCAAAGCTTCAAGAAAGTTGCAGTTGTTGGATGCTTACAGCATGATCATTGTATTGTCATGTTTAATTTAATTTAGATATAGTTGAAGAAAAAGAGAGAGGTCACAAAGAAGTCTGCAGCGATAAAGGTTTCTTGTTCAGCAGGTAAAATTTCGTCTTGTTTTTTTTTTTTCTTGTCGGGGAGGATCCAATGACGACTGCAGTCAATTTGAACAACGCCTTTTATTTTGGCATCTTTTAAAACTACTCCATAAACGGCAGTTTCAGACTGAAGAATGAAGAAAAATTGAAATTTGCAAGATGGATGTTAGGAAGCAAGTACAGAGCACTCAGCGTGAACACACAGGGCTGAATCACAGAATGTAGTCCGGGTGACATTATTCATTGATGAGCAATATAATCTACTGGGTCATGTCTGATCAGAGTCATCATCGTATCACCTTTAGGTTACTTACACACCAGAATGTGTGCATTGTGCACTCTTTAGAAATATTTTCAGTCTGATTGATATTGTTTATGATCTGATGATTAATCTGATGATTGTGTTTTTTAGTAAATAGATTTTTGTTGCCTGTTTCTGTATTAATCCCATCTTTCCCACCCTGTGCATCATTTCCTTGTCTGCTTCTCTTTACTTTTGGTTTCTGTGTTTGCTTCTCTGAGAATCATTTAACACATTCTGTGGAGCATAAGAAGAAAACGAAAGCTCACTCGTAGTAGCACAAATTTACACACACACACACACACACACACACACACACACACACACACACACATCACACCTGGAGAGAATGCAAAGACCTTGGGCCCAACAGAACAACAACAAAACAAAAAGAGAGCAAGTTTGTGTTTGTGTGAAACATCTGAGCTCAGCAGGAGAGACAAGGACAGGAAGGAGAAGGCATACAAACAAAACCAGCTTGCTCTCCACAGGCGAACATTGTATACATTGCTGTACATGCTAACTCAATGAATCCGTTAAAATGATTTTTCCGCCATTTTACTATAAAACACATAGTGATGTACATTATAAAAAAGGCTTTCCTTTTTGAAAAAGAGCAGAATTTGCCCTTCGTCAGCGCTTATTGTTTGATGCGCACCAACGTGGTTGTGTATACATTATTTACAAATACAACCGTACAAAATTTGTATTTCTCTTGTGTACATGTATTCAAAAAACAAATACAACAGATAGGTTCCATTTTGTTGTGAAATATTTCTGAAAGTACTTTAATACGCAGCGACAGAGAAGCTGAGAGACGGTGAGAAGGTGGGTTCACCTGACTCTTCAAAAGGATGCGATACTTTAAACAACATAAGATATGAATAAATGCAGTGCGCTACTATGATTGTGTTCAGGAGTTATCACAAGGCACTGGGTCAAAAGGTCTAGTTTCTCGTGGGTGTTGTCACCAAAGATCTTTACGTCTTTACACACCAAATAATTGTATTATAAAACAACCCAGTCGCCAGAAAACAATTTGGCATTGTACGTTTCTGCAAACCACTGATATGTTGAATGTCATCGTTTCTGAACAAAAAATAGTTACAACCATATCAGTCTTGTATCATGCTTGCAGAAATGTTGACTTTTGGTTTCAAATGGGACATGAACAGGGTTCTCCTGGGTCAAAGTCCTGTGTTTGTGTGAGTTAAACAGACCTTCCCATTCAAATCAACGTAGCACGATGGTCAGAGCAGCAGCCATTTTATGTGTACAGTTGCTTTTACGCACATTGTAGTTTGCTAATCTCCATATAAACTAACCGATTTACGGCAATCACATTTTCAATTATACCTAGAATGAGCAGTGGAGGAGTAATGTTACGAAGCATAGAGAGTCAGACCAACTAGCTAACTAGCCGGCCATCCGCCCAGAGATGCGCATCTGACTTCCTCCCGACCCGCCGCAAGATTTTCTTATGTACTCGTCAAATGACCAAAGAAAACAGTTAAGTGTTCTACTCCTATTCTATTTGTCTTGATCATTTTTAACGAAGTGGTCTCCACCTAAAACACAGGAAAAGAGTTCATACATTAACATGCTTTCATCATCTGAACCTGTTCAGATGAAAAACAAGTGTGCAAAGACATAAAGATCTTAACATGTTGGAGAAAACAGATGTTTTCGGCCAAGTAGTGTGCATTAAGCAGTGGACATCAGACCCATCAGTGCTGTTACCTGTCTGTTAAACTCCACAGGATCATAAATGTGCCACTCAAATCATTAACAGAAATACATACGTGTCTTCACACAGAATATATGATGATAAAAAGCAAAGTAAGAAGAGCGTCATTCCAAACTGGGGAAGCTAAAGTGGTAAATAGGAAAACAACTCATCCTTTTGCAGAGTCAGGTGCCATTAGCAGGGGTCGCTGCAGTCAGATGTGGCTGAAGGTCTTTGCATTCACACAAAGGGAAAGATTGGTGATTGGGATGAAACGGAACTGAAATCAGAGATTATGTTACTCGTTGATGCCAAAGAAAGTCTGTGTGATGTGCTTCTTCTTGCCACAAGTGCATCGACATAAGGCACAGGCACAGTTCCCCTCTTTCAACAGAGTGGCTCACATTAGTTTGTTTGTCCTTTTGTAAAAACGTCCCAGTGCAAGAAACAAGTAGGGCGACCACCGACGAGGTTAAAGCAGCTTACATTGAACATTTATGACGTGTGTTTTGCACATAACAGAACTCTGACAGTCATTATGTGAAATCAAAACAGCTTTCTATTCAGATTCAAATCAAATGATTACATCAAATAAAAACCAAAAAACTGGACCAGTGGTTTAGTGGTTTGTGTGGCAGAACTTGTGCCATGCTCACATCATATCACAAGAAGTGTAAGAACTTGGCGACACCTCTCCGCCACAACATGTTCAAATGTCAGAATCCAAGTTAGCAAAATAGTTGTTGTTAAAACTGACTACATTAATAATTCCCAATGAAGAACTGCTGATAGCACTGGAACGCTTATTTGAGGGGCTTGTCCCAGTTGGGTCAAGCCCCAAGTGTGATATGATGTGAACAGTCATAGTTTATCACAATACACTTTAAACAGATTGTAACAAAGACCAAATGGGCTGAATATTCTGTGGGCTAATTTACTGATAAACAACTTCACTGTAATGTTTTGTAATGATTTAGACCTCAACAAAGAAAGACTTCCTGTCTGCCTTCTGAAGTGGAATCAACTTTGACCCAATCGTTTATAAGATCAATTGGAAATTCCCCACTGCTCTACGTTTAAGTATCATTTTTTTCTTTTTTCCCACAAAATCCAAAGGGGGTTTATGTATTGTCACACTCACATAACTTAATGCTTATACACATATACAGCACATACACTTCTGGATTTGGTATGTGTTCAGACTGAAAGGGCAGTTCACAAGAGGTCTACCTTAAAAAACGTCCAGTGGATGTATTAAGAGAGCTGGAAACGGTGTCACCCCAGAGGCCACTGTATAGTCCATGAAGGTGTTACTGTATATTGGTAAAACTTTCACAGAGCCTAGAATAGTGATTTTAACACAAGTGACACAATCCCAAAGTAAAGTCTAAAGGCTGAGTGAGCCGGTGAACTGGAAACCTTTTTTTAGCTTGAGTGCCGGCCGAGCAAATTAATGGGTGGCATTTTGGTATCTAGTTCATATAATACATCCATGACACGTCTTCATGTTCATTACACCATCTTATATTCGGAATAGTTGTGATTAAGTGCTTATAGCCAACATTATGGGGCTTTAAAATGCCTAATGAACAACAGGAAAAGTATAAACCCTTCAGTTATCTCAGCTGGGGTGACCATCAGAGAAGAACAAAAAAAAGAGAAGACGAGGAAAATGGGGAGGGGGAGTGGGCAGGGCCTGTTGCAATGGGTGATCACCCTAGTGATTCTCGTACTGATATGCGCTTGAGGGAGAAAGGGAACAGATCGGTGTCTCTTCTCGTAAATCTCTGGAGATTTTCTTCTCAGGTTCTACCAGGAGGCTCCTACGAGCAAAGAGTGTCAGTGTGTGTGTGTGTGTGTGTGTGTGTGTGTACACCACGTACACTACATGTATACTGTGTGAATGCATGTCTGTAAGCTAGTGTGTGCATCTGCCATATGTGTGTATGCTATTAATAAATAGCGGTGTCATGTATGACTGTTGGGGTCAGACCGATATATTTCCATTTATGTCCTTTTATCAAACAGCCAATCAGTGTCCTATGTATATTCCAAATATAACCTCAGTTGTATAAAAAAGTTGCAAAGATTTTTTAATTTTTTTTATTCATGTAATTCAGTTTAAAAGCCTAATAACTCCTGCAGTGCTGTGTGTATAAAGAGCTTAGAGAGATGTGTACGACACAGTGGAGAGTTTTAGTGTCCCATGATGCTCTAAATACTGTTTTTAAAGGTTTTCCACTCTGAAACGTAGAAAATTAAGGGAGAAAATATCTTTTAGCATTGAAATATTGGCACAAAAGACCAGCTGTCAGCAGCTTGAATCCAAAATTTCCGGTACTGGCCTGTTAAAACATATCGGTTTAGCCTAAACATCAGTCTGAGAGTGTAATTGTAATGTGTATACATTAGTGTGTCTGTATAGGTACAGATCAGGCAGTCTTTGTATCTAGTGTTTGCTGTTTATTGATCCTGGAGGCAGGCAATATGTGTACTTCTGTCTGTTTTTGCCCGTTTTTCTTTCAGGATATCTGTGTATTTATTTATATTTGTATGTATCAGTCCTAAAGGCAGACATTGTTGCTGATCTGGCAGGTGGATCCAATGCCAGCCTGGGACAGGAAAAGCCTCCCGTTGGGACAAACGCAAACCTCGTAGACAGTCTGCCTGTTCCCAGAGGATGAGGAGCTGGTGGAGGCTTTCCCCTCAGGCAGCCGCATCAGGCGAATCCTCCGAGCATCCAGAGAGATCTGGTGTAGAGGGAGAGAAAACTGGTGAAATTGGAAACAGGGGGGAAACACAATAAGCAGATCTCCTGTGGGACAAATAGGAAGAAAAGGGAGAAATAGGTAGTTCGAGGTTGTTTAAGAGATTCTCTGACATTTCTGGGGGACATGCATGCTTGCTAGGTGAATGCGAAGCAGATTTTAGTGGTATTAAATGGTATTCAAAGTCAATCAGAAACAAAAGCAAATTGTCTGAGGCTCCCGAGAATTGAAAATATCTTATACGTTTCTTTCTTATCTTGTCTTAAAGTGGCAATTTTTCGTGCAACCGAGGGGAGGGTTGGGACATGGAATCCGAGTGCAGCTACGTTCAAAACCTTCATTGTGGTAGCGGCTGCTAGGAGTTGTGGTCAGAAGGTTGCTGGAGCCTGTCATGGTGGCAAGGAGGCCGTCAAGCTAAAGAGGGGTCTCCAGAAACATTCTGTTTTTGATTTTCATGGACAAGGATCTCAAGGTGCAGCTGGGGGGGAGGAGAGTGTCCAGTTAGAGGACCTCAGAATTGCATCTCTGCTCTTTGCAGATGATGTGGTTCTGTTGGCTCCATTAGACCATGACCTTCAGCAAGCACTATGAGTGAGAAGCAGTTGGGATGATAGTCAATACCTCCAAGAGCTCCGTATGGACCCAGTTCTGCAGTGAAACATACTTAGCTCTTCCTCAAGTCACCTTGTAGCAACCAAGATTCATCAACTTTAAAATTGTTTCTCCAGTAACACATCTTTAAGTAGAGTTATAATGGATTCAGAAAGTCTGAAAGGTTAAAGTTTGGACTTCTAAGTTGAATTATTGTGACTTTGGACATGTTACCCACTTGCTGTTTAAAAGACACGTCTAAGTTAAGTTGTTTCTTGTTGGCTGATGGTGAATTAAGGTGTTTGGACTGAGGCCAGCCAGACAGGACTGTTCTGTCGATGGTCACGATGTGTAACTTCTGGCAGAAAACCAGCTACATCTCAACACATCTTTAATCTCCCTAAAATCACCTCACCTCCATAAACATCTGGATCTGCATATCCTGCCTCTACCTGTTCAGATCACAACCCCACATAATGTACAGTATGTTTGACCTCCTTACAGTCAGGATTCATTCAGACTAGGTCAATCATTTGCTTTCTTTATAGGCTAAAAACTCATCTTTTTCCCATTCATCTTTACCCCGGCTCACCTCTGCTGAATCATGTGTCATGTGAAGCAAATCTCTTCACCCGCTCTCCATAGCTTACAAGCTTTGTTTTTCATGTCATCTTCTATCTCACAGGATTGCCCAAATCATGTCTGTGGCTCTTAACATCTCAATATTGTTGTTTGCATAGAATGTTAAGTGGTCTTGATATTGAACTCAATAGCAGAATATATCCATTTTCTGTGACATCAGATTTGATGTATTAGAGATGTATGAATCCATACTTACAGCGTAATTGCAACGCTTTAACACATTAATTGCACAGTGACAGAATAGCTGAGTGAGTGCAGTGAATGACGGAGGCTGTGTGTTGAATTTGAAGTACACAGTGTGAACTCTCAAGTGGCAGAGTAGTATCCGTGAGAAAAGTCACCCAGAATGCATCTGCTTGGCATCATCTCGATGGACAAATATCTCATGGATTGAGGCAACGGTAGCCTACAGGACAGAGAAGCGGGATTGCCACCAATAAAAATCATCAGTTTAAATCCCTGAAGCAGGAGACAAGATGTGGGTAAAGGGTAAAAGTAGTTTCATGTAAGGAAACTCAAACACTAGAAATCAGCTGTGCATTGTCAGCTATGTCCTGAGCAAATTACACATAAATTGTTGAAATATTTTGTTGACAAAGACAAGGGTACACCTGAAAACCATGTCCTGCTAAAAACTGAGCATAACATAACTGTCTGCTGACTCCCGGGTCATTCCTCTTGTCTCCCGAGGAATAAAAAGAGAGCAAAATACCGGAAATATTCATTCTGCAACACCGCAACAAACACACAGCTACTCATCCACTCATTTCATTCCCTTCAAAAAAACTGCTTTTCTCCCACTGCACAGACGCGAACCACTGCTGCATGAATCCCATCTATCTGCCCTCTCCTCCCGGCCTCCTGGGGCTCGTACAGAACTGGTATCTCACTGGCCGAGGAGAGGATGAGCTCTCCAACCATAAAAAAAGGTAAAGGAGCCATTACCAGGAGCCTCTGGGAGGCATCGCCATCAAATGACCTGGAACACTTTTAAAGCAGAGTCTCAGCTGACTACCTCAGACAGCTGCTGTTGAACAAATCTTTCACCACGAGGGGCAGACAGTGTGAGCCACTGGGTGTAACTGTGTGCGACTAGATGCTTTCATGTATGTGTGAAGCTGAGAGCGTGCTTGTTTTTAGTGAAGGACAAAAGTACATATGGATGAGGCAAGTAAAGGTTTTTTACAGATTTTCTCTCTTCATTTTATTTTTCTAATTTCCCAGGACTCTCCTACTTTGCGCACGTTGATGATGCACTTTGCTTCTGCATTGTACTCTGACACAACCTCGGGGAAAAAGAATCAATGAAGCGATCTCGATGTCTACACAATGTCTGTGTTGCAAAAGTAGAATGTTAGCAGAGCAGCAGCTGCAGTCCTCCATCATTGTCTACACAGAATGTGTTCAGTCACAGCGCTGAGTGTTGGTCACCCACATTCTTGCAGTGCCCAGAGTCCAATACACAATCACACACTGTGTGATCTTACTTTGTGATTGTGTATTGAAGTCCTTATGCCTGTTGAGAGCTGTATTGATGGAAATAGAAAAGTACGTGTTCCGTCAGACGCTATGCACAACCGGACGCTATCTTTTTAGAATCCAAAATGCTACAATCAACTTTCATGAAATATAAACACACTGTAAAATGTTTAAAGTTCTAGGACAAAACAAACAATCCCAGACCAGAGGTTGCCTCCCTGGCTGAAATGCCTCCAGTGCCTTACAGAGTCCACACAACATTTTTGAGGGAGGAAAACAATTACCTTGCATCACAGCTGGGTGTTTTTAGGTGTGCCACAGTACATCACTGCTGTGCATGGTGTGGGAAAAACACGTTGTCACCTCTGGTTAGACTGGGTGAAGTTACCCTTTTAGAGAACACGCATGTGTAATCATTATGTGACTCTGAGTGGCTTCAGGTGTGTGCGTGTCTATTTCTGTATCTGCTTATGTGGTTTGTCGGTGTCTAATGACCAAAGCCTTGGCAATAGCCGTGGCAGTGCCGTTGGGGTCCTGAGGAGAGAGAGAGAGAGAGAGAGAGAGAGAGAGAGAGAGAGAGAGAGAGAAAGGCTGTGTGTGTATGTGTGTGTGACAGAGGTTTGACCAATGGACATTTGCAAAACCAATGGAGTGTGAGAACGTGATTCTAATTATATGAATTGACCATCATAAGTTCAACAGCCTCACTTTCGACCACACACCCGTGAAAACTGCAGGGAGATGAGTTGTGGGCGTGGCTACTTTGGTTACTTTTAATCCAAGGGCACCTTGCAGAAACAGTCTCTCTCTCCTCGTCCATCTCATATCAGAGCTTGTCTCAACGTATGGAAATGTTTTTGTGGGAAACTTTAAGACACTTTCTTCTCCCTAATCCTCCTTCGCTGATTTGAACAGATCTGACATGACATGACTGGTGCAACCTAAGGTGGGAAATCCTTTTATCAGCACAGCCGGCTGTGATGAATGTGAGGACTGATGTGTGTAATGAATCAGGGGATGGTTGGAGGAATTTAGGAGCAGGGAGGAAAGGATGAAAGAAGCAGCATGAGGATGAGAAGTGCATTAGCTAAAAGGGGAAAAAATGATGGCAAATAGGCAAAGTTGAAGACAGAAAATAGGACAAAGGAAGTAAGAAGGGGACAAGACATGTCAGGAGGCTGGAAAAGAGTAAAAGATTGATGGAAAAGAGAAAGTAAGCATGTGAAAGACCCAAAGAATTGGTGATTGAAAGGAAGATGGGCAGCGAAAAGAATGACAAAATCAATCACCTTCCGTTCTCTATTTTCCTGCTTTTCTGTGAGGCTCTTTCAGATTCTGGTGGACGGCCAGTATGTGGGAAGCTGCCACCAGCCAATAAGCTAAATGCTGGTCCATTTTGGCTGAGGGAGCTAACTATTGTTTGGATCGCTGTTTGCTAAAAATAAGTTTGGACAGCAGAAATATTGAATTGAGATACAGCCCCATCAGCCAGTATGGCCGGAGGACAAGACAAGTTAAGAAATTGATTTCTCAACTTGTCAGTACACAGAGTGGAAGGTTTGGTCGTTGTGCCGAAAGCACGTTCGAAGTAAGGGGACTGCATTTAGCAAATTTCCCGGACAAATCTAGGTGTTTTACCTTCACAGCTTCACAGTCATCAAACAAACAACTCAATGAAAGGTTATAAAGGTTATGAATAGTTCATTTGCGCTACTGATTGACTCACCTCTCCGTCTTTGGACTCCAGTCGCAGCTCGTTCCTGCAGATAGCCTGGATGTCTCCTGCCTCAGCCAGGATCTGGATGCCTTTAGGAGCCTCCATCACTAGGGAGCGAGTGGGAGACTCGAGTCTGGGAAGAGTCAGAGGAAGAACAGCGCTGTTACCGATAATGTTTCCTCCAAACGTAGGACAGCTAATTCTTAAAAACAAATGATAGAAAGCAAGACAACACAGACGTTTACGCCGTGAATGAACCCACAATTACTTTTCTTTGTTATGATTGTCAGTAGAAAATTGGAATTGTTCCATTTTGTTACATATGATTTGTGTCAAACACCCAATTTTTTTTTTAATCACCTTCACCAACAACAAAACAACACTTTGGGGATCATGGAGGGAAACAAAAATGGCCCCAGTCTCAACGTTTGAAACTTAAATTCGTCCTCACAAAGATACACATGCAAGAATACCCTTCAAGGACCACCACCATGAATGGAGTAGAAATTGAGTGGATCTGACTCTATGGCCCACCTGCATGCTGTGCCGGCTTAGACATTTCTCTACGAGGATTAAAAACCAGCCCACTCCTCTTCATATCTTGACAAAACCACTCGGAGCCGATCCTTACGGGAAGCAGCAAAGGTGTCAAAACGCTCCAGTAGATTCAGACCTGCAGAGGAGGTCTCTGTAGACTTCCTGTCTTCCTGTCACCACGGCAGTTGTGGTAAAAATATGTGATGTTTTCTCCACAGGGAAGGTTTTCATTGATATCACACACACACTGTATTATTCAGCTGGGGGATTGTGAGCTTTAGTTCTGAGTGAGGAGCTGCTTTTAAAGGTTCGGTTTATATGCACATTATACAGTATCTGAGTCAATCATCTTCGCCAGTGTTCTGGGTCTAAGTAAGAATTTAGATGTATATGTGTCATGTGTTCATTTGGAGTATTCTGTTGATTGGTTGTCAACATGAAGACACAAGAGCTTCCTATGTAACAATATCATAAGAGTCATTCCTTTTTCAGCTTTGTTCTTGAGAAATGATGTGTATTTCTGTGATTTTGGCATGGTGGATGGCTGAAATACTACGACACCCACAAGCCTCATCTACCAAAGCTTTGGAGAAGAATCCAGTCAGAGGGGAGGGACTATCAAAACTCACTGGGCCCGGGAGGAAAGTGACTCAGCCAAGACGGCTCACGTATTTAATGTTGCAGCTACTGGGAATAAGTTCATGTGCAACGCCAAAGCAAAATTCAAACATGTTGTTGTGCTAACCTAACCAAAGTTTAGTAAAATGAAGTTTTATCAATATCATGAATGTTAATTACATTCTGTCCAATCTTTTACAAATGTAGATTAAGCAGCGGAGAAACAGACTGACAAAGGTAAGCTTTTAAACATTTGATATGCTATTTCATCATTAAATTCCCTTCAGAGATTTTTTGAGGATAGAATTCAACTGCATAATTTAACAATGCATAAAATTGTGGTGAAATGATGGTGAAATGAAAACTCGCTGCAGGCGCTAGCTCGCTGTCCAGTTTTGCTGCGGTGTTTTCACATTGACAAACCAGTAGCTGCAACAACTGGGAACAAACACTTGAGCTGCATTAGCTGAGTAGCTCCTCACGGGCCTGTTTAGTTCGTAGTGCCAGTTAGCATCATAGATAGGCTAAGGCTAGCATTTAGCAAATGCCTGGAACGACTGGAAGGGTATAGCTAATTAGAGGCAGAGTAGGTCTTCCCACAAGGGAAACTGGGTAGGCATTGGTAATCTCTCCCCAGTCAGGTGTGACTGGTATAGCAAATCTCAAAGTACTATGTTGTTGCTAATAAGAAACAGAAACCACACAATAGTTGCTGCAGTCCTGTAAAATGTTGCTGAAAAAGACAAAAAACACAGGACTGCTGCTACATTTGAATGGGACTTTTTACATGTCTGTGCCCATGACCTCAGACTGTAAACATTTATTCACAAATATCCAAGAATAAATCTTTATTCTAGTACTTTACTTTGTGTAGTGCTATAAAACAGCACTTGTATTGCACAAGATGATTAATGCAAAAAATATGAACAATTTTGTTTTACAATACTAATCTCTCAACTTGCACATGGCAACAATAACAGGTCTCTTGAATGGTTCATATGGAAAAATAGAAACAGACTTAGTATAACAAGTTGCATCAGCGAAAGTAACAGAGTCACACAAGAGCAAGAGGAAGAACAGAACCATCTTATTTCTGTTGTAATCCCCTGTAGTCGGCTGGTGTCATTCTCTGAATATGCTCCTGGCAGGTGAACAAAGTCACCTAAGCAGTGACCTGAATTCCCCAGAGGATGGAGAGAAGAGCTGCTGTAAAGTGGCTGGTTGCACTGTTACAATAGTAAATGTTGAAACAGGGCAGCAGCAAACTTTCAGCAAAGTAAAATAACACAACATGTCAAGAACCTCTGTTTGAGTTCAAACTCCGGTTATCCGGCAGGAAAAATGTCAGGGTGGAGGATGAACATTTTTCACCCCAAAAGTAGTATGACGCACTTCGGATGGGCACCAACTGGTGCATGCCACTGCATGGTGTGGTATTAGACAGGAGAGATAAAAGAGAGGAGATTTCATCATAATTATCAAGTCAAAATCTGTATTGTCTTGTTGGTTTATTGGCTCTTAGTGTTGGGCATTGTTACTGTTAAAAGTAACTTGTTACATTACAACGTTACAGCCATTAAAAAGTAACTCGTTAGGTTACAGCATTACCTATCGAGAAAACTAACTCGTCAAGAGTACTTTTGCATTTACAAAAATGTAAACTCTGCGATTCCTTGCACATGTTGGTTATATTATCCAGAGGGTGTGTAGCCTACTTTTCATTTTTAATCTTTCCTTTTCCCTTTTATATTTCCCCCAGTATTTTATCCAAAAGTATATTTGTAAAAAAGGCTGCGAAATTGTAGCATGAAAATTGTCTGTTTATTTCACATTCTCCATAAGGCCAGCAGCGCCTAACCGTACAACTTGTCAACATAAACACTTTAGCTGTGACCAATAGCCGTTTGATGGGGTGTCCACCTGAAGCCCTGAGAAAACAACCTGCCCACAGGGAATTTGAGTTTTAGATCGCAAACACCAATATAAAGGTATACTGCAACGTACAATGTGCTTAAGTAACACAAATCATTACAGTAGTTATTAACTATTGGTTGATCTGTGGTGCCTCTCCAAATATTTCCTTCCAAAGGCTCAGTTTATTGAGGTATTTCAGGAACAATATTCAGGTGCATCCATTTTCACACGGATGCACTGCCTGAGTTACAGTATACCGAAGGGAAGAAATGGCGACCAAAAGCTGACATACGTGACAAAACCTCCACTGATTAGGAGGGTGAGCAAGTTTCCAAATGAAAACTTGAATCTCCTTTGCATTACCCTTTGCTCTCTGCACCACAGAGGGTTAAGCCTGAACACAGATTAATTACAGTGTGTGAAACATGGTGATTAATCAAACGCCTCATCATCGTTGTTTGATTTTCAGTTGTTCAGTTGAAAGACTGAATTCAAAACGAGCGCTCGATTAAATTGGATAAATTAGCAGTTTTCTGTCTTCTCTCCTCCAAAGGCATCGGGCCAATCACTCACTCGGCCAGCTTGTTTTATTTTAGTTTCTCTGTCTGTGCCTCCGTCAACAGTGCTGACACAACCCATTAGTATTCATGCTAACCGATGCCACCGGAGGGCGAATAAAAACAAATTAGAGCCAGCGCAATTTAAACCTGTTGCATCTGGACATTAAGTGAACATGGTTGAGACTTTAATCCTACGCTTTGCAAGACAACAGAGCAAAAATTTGTCCCACGGAGGTCACGGCGAGAATGATAAAAGGTTTCAGAAGAGCTCAGGGATGTAGAGCTCTGGGGTTCTGGCTTCGAGTGGAAAAATGGAGTTTGGTGGTGGGCGTCTTCAAACATCCGACAAGCCGTTTTTAGGACACTGCCTTTGCCCCCTGTACATCCTCATCAAGCTTGGTGGCAGTCTGAGGCCATGAAAGCCTCACAGGTCATCTTTGGATATACTTGAGAAGGAGTTATCCATAATATAAAAAACTTCTGTGGCTCTAGGTTGAGGTACCTGGATCTTCACCCCTACAAAGAAATACTGTAAGTTTCTACCAAATTGAAAAGAGGTATTCAGTGTTTGTGGATGTGAAGGCCTCCCTCCTCTCTCATCCTCCCTCTTTCTCCCAGGTTGCTCTGCGGGGGTTCAGGCCACGGAATATGTCTGTCCCACGGTTATATGACTTTTCATTTCCTCTACACAGTCCCCGTGAATAATTTCACCATTTCCTTCACTTGTTTTCTGTCTCGTTTTAATATAAACAGTTTTTCATATTTCATAATAAAAATCTAGATTTAACTATGAAAACTGGAAGCTATATGCGTACAAACCAACTTCAAGAATGCCATGCATTATTAACAAGCCGATGTCAAGATATTTGCTCTCTTCCAGTTTCTGTCTCCTGCTTATTGTGCTGCTTACATTTGTCTTTGTTTTCTGGTTTTTAATCTTATGTCACATTTTACTTTTATGGATGCCACAAACTAATTTCCCCACAGCGATCGATAAAGCTCCACCTTGTTCTCCCTCTTGTTTTCTGTTTCACTTTTGTGCATCCTCCTCTTACCCTTTCGCTGTATTTTCCTGGCAGCATTTCATATCTGCAACTGGGATCAAAGGTTAATATCATATCGACCGCCTTCATATAACAACAGAACTTATTGGAGGCTTTTGACGAACAGAAAATATAAACTTGCACAGTCTGAAACCTGCGGGCAGCTTTCGCACTCTCCGTCTCCTCTACACGTAACTCCTTTGTCCTTGGCACCGACATCTTCTCCAAATTCTCCGTAACTGTTTCTTGTGCGGTGTGAGCACAGCGGTCAGAACGGTTTGGCGTTATAAATATATAAGCAACGGTGAGCTGAAATCGGCTGCCGTCGTGCCACGCAGCAAATCATAGGTTAAATGGCAATCTCGGGCCGATGCGAGTGCAGCTGATTGCTTCGCCAACAGCCGGACACTCTGCTGGGGAACACACCATCCGCTGAATTACTGAGATCAGTGCAAGCTGAA